AATTTAGACCTAGGTTTCTAAAACTGAGCGTTTTTCAACTAACGACAGAAACTCCATACACTAAGAATAATAATAAAAACGTTTATTTGCACTAAGTATGGTAATTACAGGTGATAATAATTATAAAAAATTGTCCCACATACATCGCCTACTGTTTGCGGCATGCTAAGCTAATGCTATTTTACATTTAATAAAGTTAAAATGTTACAATTAATAGCAACTTATTACAAAAAAGCTTGCAAGTAGGATAATATGTATTAATCTCTTAACATATTATTATTATTTCTCTTCTTAATGATCAGGCATATCAGAGAGCGCTGCTACCCGATCGTTGTTGAACGTAGTTCCTTAGTCGGCTCTAACGATACCCGTGGGAAGATGAGGGATGGTAACCAACATTTTATTTTACCGTCATCGCATTTCGTCCTTTCCGAATAGTATAGTTTGAATAGTAACTTACACTTTTGGCACGAGATCGAAGCGCATCTTCTCGAGGTTGGGATCCTCACCCATGATAGCCACAGCCACTGGGTACATCTTGTCGTAATCGAAATCAAACTCGACACCAGCGGGAGGAGCGCGCACAAAGTTCCGTCGGTCCTGGAAGTGGAAGAAGTTTCATTTAAAAGTGATATAAGAATGCATAGTTCTATTCATATATATTACACTACAACTATATAGAACTATACACCACTATTCCCGCATGGTTCCCCCGCTACTCGGGTTCCATAAGGAATAGTTTTATGGGATATGGCTTTCTTCGATAAATGGACTCAGTTGTTATGGACATTAGTGCATTAAAAACACAATTAATTATAATATAATTTTGCTGTATTGCTGCTTTGTATCTTGACTTTTTTCCCAAAGAAGTTTGAGAATACAAACCGCTGAAGATAAACTTCGTTGGTTATACAACCACTGTCATTCGGAGAGTTATAATGTTAACCGAAACTGTCAACGGATGGAGTCACGTTCTGAACAAACCATAAAATGTAAACCTTAATATAAAACAGACAGAACGTTCGCCACAAACATGAGACCACGTGTCGAGAGCATACAGTATCGTGTCAAAAGTTTGCACACAAAGTTTTGATGAGGATGAACATATAGCATCACATTCCTAACTCGAGAGCCACGTGCAGATACGGGGAAAGTTGTGTATTTCGTTAAAAAAGAATAAACAGAAATAATGATCTGAATTATTGTTTAAAAATGTTTATCCAGAGAATTGAAGGTGCTGGATTTATAAATCCTGGGAGTATTAAATACAAATACAACTTAACTCGTCGAGTACCGGTTTTGTAGACACAATTATAGAACAATAGGTGACCGCTTGGTGTTTGACAGTTTAAAGTATTTGAAGTGAATGTTAACCCGTTAAGAGAAAAAAAAATCAAGATGAGAAATCTGAACATTGGCTTTGGAATATAACATTTAAATGGGCATTATTGTTACAAATACAATTCCAAGATAACTTCAGAAACCCATAAATGTATTTATAGATGTAATCTGAATAACATTTGGGACATAGTAAATATAGATTTAATAGCAATTAGTAAATACTCACAGTAGACAAAGACAGGCACTCCTCCTTGAGGGCGGCCTCGTTGGGGGCTCCCACCCAGGGAGGCACGGCGGCGGCACTGCCACGACCTTCCTGCCCCTTGATGAATGCATCCTGCTCGCGGTTGAACTCGCCCAAGATGCTCTGTAGGACAAAGAAAACGAAACTTTAATAAAAAATATCAAAAGTACAATATCCCTATTAGTGCCTATTGCTTAGTAAAGCCTTTCCTCACACTGAGAAAGTTTAAGTATTAATCCACGCTTGCACAATGCGGGTTGGCCAAAAATATAATTTGTAAAGGTACCTATAATATAGGACAAAACCTAATGAAGCTTTAAAAAGTATAATGACCGAAAAATAAAAGTCAGACTGATATGATAACACACAAATAGATCAATAAACTGATTATTTTATATTAGTGTGATTTATTTAGGCAATAAAAGATATGAACGTAATACTTATAATAATTATAATCTAGTATTGATATGAACAATTGGTCGGATTATGCGAACTTTTGATAAAGGAAGAAATGTTCATAGACGCCTACAGTTAACAATTTAGGCACTGATACACTTATTCAATCCTTAGAATAAAGTTATTGTCTACGGCAAAAAATAGCAGTCATTTAATAAAATGACGGAAGTAAAACGTGAGTATTATTTATTCGCGCAATATAATAATAATAATCGTAAGGCCAATGTTGTTCCTGGTCGTTTGTATTGTCATTTAATAATTAACTTTATTAACAAAAAAACACAATAATACCGTCAATGCCACATTTTATAGGAGAAAATGAAAAATCAATACCGTGGTAATGTTTTCATCTACTAAATAATGTAGCACGTGAAAGTCTTTTATCTACCTACACGTAACAGATAACAGCTTGTTTATTTAAATTTTTAACCTTCAAATTGTTCAATAGCAAAGCACTTTATAAATAATCCACTAAATCTTGGTATCTCAGTAATCTGACAGCGGGGTGGCCATCTTACCACAATGTGCGATAAAGGGAAGAACATAATTTGCGTTTTATCTATTTTCTGACATAACTTCAAGAGACAATCATTTATCTGTTTACCTCAGAAAGATAAAGGTACTCATAATAAATCTTCTATGATAAACACGTACGACATTTATTTTTTAATATTTCATTCAGAATCCAAAATAAATTTTCAATTTCTATAAACTACTAACTTTATTATACCATTTCAAAAATACGTTCTGGCTAGACATAAATCAGATAAGTTAATTAAAACTTAAAATAAATCTAAAAGGATGCCAAGTTATTTCACCATTATATTACAGCGACTGAAAAATAAGTTTAAGTTGGCAAAATTCCAGCGCCTGCAACTTTTTAATAGCAACTATCAAACTTGGTTCAGCCAGTATTTATTACTTGACTAGTTCAATTATATCTCCAGTACCAATAAATTTTTATTTCCAAACTCTAGGTGAAACTCATTTTATACTGAACTGTTTGGAAATAAATTTAAAGATGATTAACTAGGTCATACAATATTGTTGTTTACTTATGTCTATAAAGTTCATTCTGATACATAATAATTATAATTGACTGGTCTGGCTCGTAAATTATGATAATTACTGCATCCTTGTTAAAGACCTAACACACTAACCAGCGTAATATATTCGAATAATAATATTTTGTAAGAAGACCATGATTCAGTGCAAAGACCACCATACATATACCCATATTGTTGTATAACAATACACAGTAATTTAACATAATAAATCAAATTTTAATTACTTCATAAATCATGCACCATAATTTACCTTCACCACCCATTGCAATCGTACCACAATTACGTAAAATGAAATATTAACATTGCTAATTATGTTTGTTGCAGATTTGTGCCAACCGAAAACGGACCATCAATCTTTACAAAACATAATCTTGCATGATAAAACTGAGACTGTCACTACAAAAAGAATCCATTTGCAAACAATTGTTACATTCAATCTGCAGCACACTCAAGATAACAGTTAATACTACTGGAATAACCACAGTAGTACGCATAACTCGTCCAGATTATGACTACTGCGAGGTAACAAAGAATTAATTGCAAGATATTTATAAAGAAACAAATATGGACGCAGAATTAAATACAAAATACGACACAAAGGATCTTAAAATGGAGAAGATGCCTGTAGAGAAACAAGAAGAGACAGACAAATTGGTGAAGGCGATAGGACAATTTGGGAAATGGCAGCTGATGTTGTGGTTGTTGATAGCTTCCCCAATAAAGATCTCATCGGCATGGCAGCAACTTGGGATAGTGTTCATAGCACCCGCTACATCGTTCATGTGTGAAGAAACGAATCTAACGAATATCATAGAAATGAACACGTGCTATAGTGATTGTGTCAGTTACAACTATTACACGGACTTTGAGAACACTATTATATCCCAATTCGAGCTTATCTGCGAGAAAGCTTGGTTGTCAAACTTCACGCAGACTATTTGCATGTTCGGCGTCCTAATGGGCAGCATCATCTTTGGATTTATAGCTGATCGGTAAGTCCTTAGATAATTTTAACATTAAAATATTGTTCACGATAATTTTCTAGACCGATACCCTAGCATAACAAAGCAATGTGATGTTTTTGCCATTTAGTATATTTATTGAAATTATTTACTACAGATATGGAAGACGTCCAGCGCTGCTAATCTCCTGCATGCTTCTACTAGTGACATCAGTCGGGGAGGCATTCTGTAAAGTTTATTGGCTTTTCACTGCAGTCCGGTTTTTCATAGGATTAGCCACTGCAGGCACAATGCTCTGCTCCTTCATCCTAATGATGGAAATCATCGGGCCAATGAAGAGAGAACTCATGAACTGCCTCTGTGCTCTGCCAATGCCTGTCGGACAAATGCTGATGCCACTCTTCGCCTACTTCCTAAGATCATGGAATAACTTCTGTTTGGGCGTTGGAATTCCCCATGTATTGTACTTGGCATATTTCTTCATATTACCAGAATCTCCTAAGTGGCTAATTTCGGTGGGCAGGCTTGAGGAAGCCAGTAAAGTTATGACGCAAGCTGCCAAATGGTAAGCATTTCTGTTATGGACATGTGTAAATATTGACATAATTATTCAAATTCAAATTTACAAGTCTGTTTTGTCTGATTTCAGGAACAATCTTCCAACGGATAACATGTTAGACATCGCCAAAAGTATAGCCAGTGAGAAGGTTAACTCAACCGAGCCCCTTAGGAAAGCCACCTACTTAGATTTGCTGAAGACGAAAGTACTCAGGATCAACATCTTCGGTTCCTGTATGATCTGGTTCGTGCTTGGTATCAGTTACTATGGTAGCAACCAGTACATTGGACAGACCAGTTCCAACGTATTCATTTCTGTTCTCTTGGCTGGAGTATTGCAGGTAATTTATTATCGAGTTACATTTTGCACCACGTGGTTACGTGTAGTAAAACTAAATTAAATTATTATATAGGATTACAAAGATAAGTATAAATATAGACGTTTGTCAACAAACTGTCAAGTCAGACTCGTTAAACGTTTTCATTAGGATTTCTCTTCAATTTTCCTTGTATTTTACACGTGCTTGAGATTAAAAATATAAACCATAAATATTATTTTTATATACGAATTTAATTTATCTGAATACCCTTTAACATTCACATTTCCGTTAAAATAATATTGCGGCTAACAGCTTTTTGCAATTATGATTTCATCGTTATCAAATTGGGTTACCACGAAAATAGAAGGTTCTACAATAATTGCACTTTGCGAAGGTCATACTTTTATGCACTATAATTTTTTTCCATGCTTAGTCATTTATTGAATTTTCCAGATCCCTGGTATCTTGCTGAGCGGTTTTTTCTGCCGATACTTTGGAAGGAAGATAACAATGATCAGTTTCTTGATCGTGTGTGGAGGAAGCAATGCTTTCCTAGTGGTCCCTGAAGACTGGTTCGCCGTCAGACTCACTATGGGAGCCATCGGTGTCGGGTGTGCTTCGGGAGCCTTCGCTACTATGTAAGTATTAAGTTCATCATTCATATGTTAATTGCGAAAATGAATTGGTTATTATATTTTCACGCCGAAACTTGTGAGCTGATTTTGATGAAATTGGCGTAAGGAAACATGAACTTTTGGATTAATTTTATTGATGATTCTTTACATTCAGATATAATATATAGTTTGAGGGCTTCTTAGATTGGTATCCAATAAATCTTTAAGACATTCCCTTCTAATTTTCCAGGTACATGTACACAACAGAAATGTTCCCTACGGTAGCTCGCAACATGGCTATGGGAGCCTCGTCAACAGTCTCCCGAGTTGGTTCCATGTTGGCCCCGTACGTGGCTGGCATGACTATCATCGCTGCATGGCTACCACCCGTGGCCTTCGCCATCGTTCCTATAGTAGGAGCAATTACTTGCTACTTCTTGCCTGAGACTAGAGGCAAGACACTATCAGATCATTTGTCTTAGTTTTCAAGATGGTAGTGGTTAGTATTTGTGAAATGTGTCGTCTTCAGTGTTTATTTATTATCCTTCAGTAAATGGATAGCGTCGTGATATTTTTGTACTTGTACATATTTTATTTTTTAGCTTTAATTTGTATTTAGTTTTAAGTTATGATTATAATTATTGTAGAGTTTTTTTATATAATACACAGCAGACATTATCTTGTTTATTATTCACATCCGCATATAATAAAATGGTTCATTGGAAATATCGATTTTATCAAAAGAACACAATTTGTCGGTTCAGCGAGCCAAAATAATCGATTTGTTCGCAGATTATCGGGAATGTTAAACAAAATGTTATACGTCAAACAATGTTCACGCTTGCTTAGTAAACAGGGAGGGAAATTAATATGCTATTAATATTAAACAAGGCCTTCAATGAGTGACGTTAATTGATATATCACGAAATACGAACATTTATGTGTTTATTGATGTTAGAATGGGGCGCAAGTAATTATGGGGAACTGTCTCAATCTTAGAACGATATGGTTTTATAGAAAACAATTAAAACATAAATCAACAAATCAATAAACATTGTATTGATAAAAATATGACTTTCTTATGTAAAGGTATCATTTTCTGCTACAACACACATATAAATGTTGAATGCAATAACAACAGATTGACACAGTGTCAAAACTTATCATACTAACGTTCCCATTACGGTATCTACATTTACTTAATGATTCCAACAATAAAATAACACAAAAAGTATTTAACTTAAACAAGTGCGAATTTTCTACCTGAAACTCCCTCAAAATAAATGAACGAATGTGTGCACAATGTATGCTAAATTGAAGACAAAGTTTAAAATACTATTTACAGGGATAAAGTTGTCCAACAAAAGCTATAAAACAAATTAAATTCCACATTAACACCTCGACAGAGGGGGTCGGGGACGGAGGGGGGACGGGGGAGGGGAAGTGTTCGTTTGTGAGAGAACTGGGTCAACTTTGAACACAATTTATTATTGTTACGGTAACGTTGAACAATTAAGTAATGAAAGGAAATTGTATGAACGATACGGAATTAGAATTGTGTATGCCAACGTAACACTGGGAAAGTCTTAGAATTATTTTTGTGCCATTCACTATGTATTACTTGTCCTGTAAGTATTTTTTATCTACCAAGTATGTACATATATGCATATATATGTACATACTTAGTTGATAAAAAATACTAGTAGAGGTAGTAGTAGAGGCATAGAGATGCCTCTACTACTACCTTAACGCCTCATAAAGTAACTAGTCGACCACAACTAAACCCTTTCTTCTCTGATATTTCTAATCCGGTATAATAAAAAAATCTTCAAAGATTCCCTTCAGATTAGAAAACTAGTACAAAACTAGTCGAGTCAAATAAACCTATTATACATTATTAATATTATCTTTCCAAGAAAAAGATCAGTAAACAAGGTTTCATGAAGATTGGAACCAATTTGATTAAACATAAACATCAAAGAAATCGAAAGGGTCATTAAATAGAGCCTCAGTTCCGAGAATATGTCAAATGCATAGAATATTCATTAAGCTTATTAAAAAGCAGAAAAAATTAATGTAAAATTTATGCGAAGCGCCAATATTGTCCAGTTGAATTTGGGTTCTCATCATAAAGGGAAAACACATTTTCTTACTTCGTCACGCCTCGTAAAAATGTCGCCTTTATAAAGAAAAAAGCACTGGTATAGAAAAAACAAGGTTTTAACAAAACCATTCAGGAACACAAACATTAATGTTGAATGTTTCCGAGGACACCAAACATTGCCAATTTATTATGGATGGTAATTACTTCTGCAATTAATTTTCATTTCGACGGAATATAATTACATTTATGAAAGAGTGATTGTGTTCTCGTTTTGTTTGTTTCATGGATTTTATTTTAATCTGTTTTCGTACCACTCGAACTTAAATGATTTAAAGTGCTTTTTCTGATTCTGAAAACCGATTAACGTTGCTTATTTGTAAAACTGAATATCGTTGCTCGATTCTACATACTAATTACAATTGGGACTGTGCAATAACTAAACAAAACACGAACTGATAAGTAAATTAGACAAAATAAAATACCGTGCAAAAATATAAAAGGAAAATCTAGCTAGCCACAGTAAAAAAATAGATATCCATTGAACAAAATTACATTCAATCTTTTTATCTCATAACCTTATTCAGAAAGATAAATATGAACGAATGGACGAACGAATGAATGGAGTGAATGATGAACCTATTCACGGAATACCAATCTGAGTTGATTAATGCTGAAAGATGCAATCTGTGCCTGATGGGATGTATCAAAGAGTTACGGAACAATCTATTGTCCTTGTGAAACACCGTTTCAATGAAATATGTAATACTAAAGTAGTTAATTACAACTACTGTCAAGATTATAGTCTCATTATGCAGTAGTTGTTTCAATTCATGTACTATGTATGTCTGTTTCTTTTGGGCAGATTTGAACTTAAACATACACCTAATAGATGTCCAAATGCAAATAATATTGAAATATAAAAACGCAATAACATCATCTATGTTAAGACTAACGAGACAAACTTTTAGTTAAATTTCGCTTCACAAATTAAAAACCCAAGCCTTTGAACAGAGATCACGTAGAAATAAAAATTCAACGTTGAAAAATATTTCGACAAATTCGAACGTCAAAACTTCCGTGCATATGTGAAAATAAAAATGGTACACAAATAGAAAAGGTTTATGAAATAACAATATCTATGGATGTGGATTTAGTGACACGTGTTGGAAACAGCCAGGAACCGCTTCAGGCACGAACAACATTCACAGTATATAAATCCCTATTGATTAATACTCCGAAACAATTCAGTCTGGCTTTGTTCATGTTTCGAGGCTTTCATCGTTTTGTGAACGTTTAGTTCTGTATTGATACCGATTAATGAGACTTTATCCTATCGGGCTTTAATGGTGCATTGTGCTAGTTGATTGTGTTCGCTCTGTGAAGATTTTGAAAAACGGATTTTCAGTATAAAGTCGGAAAAGGACATCAGTTTGTTAACAGACACAGAAATAATAAAAGCGAAAATGCAACCCTGAGTATTAATTATGACATATTTCTTACACTGCCATCTTTATGATAGCATTAAAGAATCACACAAATTACAATTCTAACTACAAAACAATAAAGATGAGAATATGGAAATCGATAATAGAAAACAACAGCAATTCTACAATGGACAAAAAGAACTTTAAATTAGATGATTGTGACGATGCGACTATAGTGGCTTATACTTACAGTCTTGTTTTTCTATAATCCAGAGATTAGCATGGAAAGTGGAAAGACAATATTTAATAAGTGCACACAGACAACAGACAAGGGTAAGAAACAGGACACATGAAGGTGAAGATGGACACAAGATAGGTGAAGATGTATAATTGGTTGTTCCAACCGAATAAGAGAAGTGCATTGCAGTCAGCTCTTAAATAGACATTTATTATAATGGCAGTAGTTTCCTCAAACTACATTATTACAATCAGGTACCTATTTGTATATTTTCGCGAAATGATTTTCATGGACCTTTGTGACATTAGGTGCAGAAGGGTTTTTTTTTTTTATTGGGACAAGCCCGCCACAACCTCCCAAAACCGCTGCAACTCCTGTAAGCCAGGATCTACAGTAGATACAACCATGAAAACACCAGAACACTGAAGTCCGGCTCCATCTAACGTTGGTGACCAGTGACCACCGTGACGTATAACGTGTCAAAGCTTAAAAAACCCATGCCATGCTTCGGCACGAATAGGCCGGCTCGACCGGAGTGATACCACGGCCTCACAGAAAACCGTCATGAAGCAACGCTTGAGTTGTGTTTCGTCGTATGAGTGAGGTTACCGGAGGCCCAATTACCCTCCCCTTTTCCAATCTCCCCAATTCCTGAATCCCCAACGATCCTCAAACTCCTAATCCCCAAAGGGCCAGTAACGTACCTAACGCCTCTGGTGTTCCAAGTGTCCATGAGCGTTTACCGGATTATGCCATAAAAAAACCACACCAATTACCAGATTGGCTGGTTGGACCGACATCAACAAATAATCAAATAAAAAGCTATCACTAATGACATCTCAGAGATTCATACTGAAACTACGACGCTGCACTAGAAAATGTTTGGCTCATTTCAAGAACCTCTTTCAGAACGAAAGCGTTCGATCGTTTCTCATATGACTCGTTCTACGTTTACCTCATACAAAGCCTTCAGATATGGGTCACATGAAGGTAATATTTTCCGATTTCTCTCGACATTTTCTATCCGTGAACGTTTTATTTTGCAATGTGATATTCAACAGGCTACGATCATATGAGACCTTCGCAGAAAATATCAAAGGTGGATTGTATAAATGGAAAAACGAGACTAATGTTTAATGCAGCAGTTGAGACAAATACGAGGACGCTTTGTTATACAATGGTAGCTAACACTTTAGTAAAAACAGAAAGTAGAACGTAAAAGGATTAGACAATCCTCTTTAGGTTGTATTGGTCCTTATAAAATAAACAAAACTTCGAATCTCTTTCCCAAAAAAATATTCGCAACCTTCCAAAGCATTAGGTAGGACTAAAGCCACACTCCACAAATATCCAACCGGAAGGAAATCCCGCAACCGCATGCAAGTCCCAAGATACGTGTAATCCGGTTGATTGATCCGGATATCCGGCCCGCACCCAGTTCGGATGGGGAGTAATGAGATTCTATTCTAAGCGTATGGGGTGCTATTCATTAAATTGGGACGTTATTGAGATAATGGGAACACGGGATTGGTCAGCATTCCAAAAACCCATTTGTTTTAAATTCTGGACATTTTATAAAATTATAGTTTTATATTATAGTTCAATTAGTAGAGATGTAATATCTCTAAAGTAAAATAGTGTTAGGAAAAATTCGTAGCACTTAGCTACGACGCTACGAGCCTATGGAGCGCCTACGAATTGGCTACACGGTAGCTACGCAATGTCTACGAGACTACTACGCGATCGATACGAACCACCTACTGATAACGGGATTTTACGCAATTTTAATAATTTTTCAACACATTTTCAGACAGGAAAGAATTATTTTACTTGGAATAGATAAACAACCTCAGCTATTTTTCTTTGTCTCTCACCACGGTCTTTTTGTATAATGGAATAAAACTTTTCAAAAGTTAGGAAGTTGGACAAAGGTCGAAAGTCTCACTGACCTTTTAACAAACTTTTGTTAGTTCGTTGAAGCATCATTTACAACGGCTAAAAGGATGAAAGCTCTCAAAGGCACTCAGCACAAGTTTTACTGTTACTTAGACATCAAATACATGTCGCCTCTACTTACTTGACACTACATAGCAAAAAGAAAATATTATAATTGAACGTTATCAAGTTTTTCTTGTACGTATTTAAATAGAAATCTCTATAAAATTCCCTTTCATAAAATTAACGTAAACAAGGTGAATGTCAGGCCATTTAACAAATCTCTTTGTGAGGACTAAGTAAATAACTCAGTCGTAACAGAAAACAGACTTTTCTACTTACAGGCACCGACAGAAATAATTTATCTTTATATATACAGACGTTTATCAGACAACGGCAAGGAGAATTGAATCAGAAACCGAAATAACTTTTTGAGAAAATTAGGTAGCATTTAATTAAATAAACATATATAGGAAGCTGGTGTAAGCGAGAGAGATGATAACAACGTAATATTTTTTCAAAATGGCTGCAGTAACATGATGACGTAATTTCGTATTGATGTGACTTCCGCTGAGCTGGGAACGGGGGGAGCCACAGGAACGCGCTGTAAAACTAGTAAAGCTAAACAAAACCAGTATATCCTGACCGTTGATTGTGCGAGAAGATCGTACAAAGCGAGTTCATTGTTAACTGGTTTTTTATAGCTTGATCTGTGGCCTTGTGTACTCTTGTACTGTGTATCGATCGAGCCACGTTTACGGTCTAGACTCGTATCTGTGGCGCCAGAGAGTCTGAATTGTTTAAAGGATTTAGTCTCGCGGTTTATTTGTGAGTGGATTGTGTTTATGTTCCGTGATGTAACAGTTTTAATGGGATTCTAAATTATAGATACGGCACATTATAAATAATGGTTATCATTAAATACTGAAAGATTTGTTTGACTGTCTGCGTCATTGATTATGTGGTTGTAAGGGCCTCTGCAGAGTACGTGATTTGATGTCAAAGTCAAAGTCAAAATCACGTATTTCAATTAGACCAGGAAGGCACCTTTAAACTGTCAAATACCAAGCGGTCGCCGGTGACCGCAACCTATTGTTTCTATAATTGTGTCTACAAAACCGGTACTCGACGAGTTAATCGTCAAAATAAAATGTTGAAATATTAAAAAATGTCCGTCTGTCGGTCAGTCCTTTAAGCACTATTAAAATCCACAGCCCTTTTACGATAAATATACGGAACAAAAAATGATTTTCTCAGTACACAAGAAAAGCGGCCAATACATTCCCATTCAATAAAAATCTACTAATAACCCAATAATGATCCACCTCCATCTAACACAAAGCTGCTGTTATGGCTAAAAAGAACTTAGAATGAATGAATAGTTCAATAGCCCACTTTATCCTTAAAGCCGGACATTCGTACAAAAGGACTCTCGTGGGTTTAACCGTCCGGGCAAGATGGCGTCCGGTCGTTCGGGATTTACCTTATAAATATCTTATGAGTTTATCACCTGTGGTTACCATGTGAACAGAATACACAATTCTTTTATTGAAAGTTCGAAACAGTTTTTTTCGTCTTAACTAGGTTATGAACCTTTTCAATTTTGTTGTTTATTGTGTCATCCTGTATTTCAAAAGGACCAATCAAAATTTTGGTACAACAAGATGGTCTCTTCTTATTGTTTTGGGGCGTAACCAGTAGCTCATGTGTTAATATTCTTAACAAAACAAGCCAAGTAATTGAAAGTTATATTATGTTATGTTATATTATATTGATACTAAATAATTATGTTGATATTTAAAAATGGTGTCCATTTTGAAACGGTAACAAATACGAACATTAAAAATAACTAGACATTTACACTATTGACTTACGTAAGTAAATTGGTAATTTCAGCACCGTATAATGTTTTAGCATAATTGACTAATTCATAAATTCAAAGTGCTCACTTTACCCTGCCCCATAAAGTTCCATCTTTTTCTAGACCTTGCAAAAATGTCCGCTTTTGTATAAATTAAATTAATAACCCTGAACGAATCCAGTCCAACGAGAATTAATGGGGGAGAGAAAGTGCTGGAAAAAATGACTACATAATTCAATTTGTTTTAAAATGAGTTTTTGAAAACGAAATTTCACTTATTTTAGGACTGGAGGGATTAGACGGATCCCTGCTTTGATTAAAATTCATCAAGCTAAAACGACTTCAACATTCATATTTCAGTGCAAATATATCATCATTTTAGGTGTAGTGGTCACCCATGCTTAACAGGATCGGAAGATACAAAAAAAAAGTCGCAAGGACAACTTGCATGATTAAAAATTGAGATCCAAACATTTAGCTTATGTCCAACGTCAGGGTCAGCCAAGCGCCTAACATGGTAATGGACAAACTGTAGCTGCAAACTATAATGGAACTGCTTCGTCGATCCCCTCGGGGATTAAAAAAACGTTGGTCATTTAATATTGAAGCAAATTGGGGAAAGTCGAGCGTCCATTTATTATGCGCCGGCCGCTGTACGCTCCCACGCAAGGGGTGACATCTAGTGGCTCACAGGGTGTTTACATAAAACGGCAATTATCCCTTTTTCTAAATCCCCCATTTGAATAAAGGGGGAAGGTTTTGTAAATATATTAATTTGAATATAAACAACGAGGTTTTCAACAATATTCGCGGTTTAAGTGACATAGAATACATAATGAAGTAACGTAGTGAAGCGATCAATAAAAGCGATCAGTAGCTGACGATAGTATGTTAGGTGGCTATAAAACGTATTATGGCCTATTCGTCGAACCACATGCAGTATTGTATCGTGTCAAGCATTTGTTTGGCCCGAATCAGTTCGAACCCTCATTGACCTCATTCCTTTGAAGCGAATAAATTAAAAACTCACATACAACGGCCCCATTTCATAGCTCCATTTAAATATTAAAAAGGCAGGTAGTGCATCGTGCAACATTGCAACTATTCACAACATGCGATACAGTTACAAACTGCTTTGTGTAGTCGCCATTTTATAACCATTGTACCTAGAATGCGCGTCACTCGCTCCATTTAGTTCAACACTGCTATTTTTACATGGTTCATACTT